ATGCCCCCCTGTCCATGCCAACCATTTCGCGGTTTTCGGCTGTACCATGATGCGCGCCTTGTGCGCCTCATCCTCCGAAACTGTGGTTGGCAACAAGGTGTGACGGTGCTTTTTGCTTGCTGCCTGTTGTCAGCGGGCAAGTTCCCATATTGGAGCCAAGGGGTTGCTGGCCTGTTTGGATAAGAAGGATCAAGGGCACCTGCGCTTACTGAACGGACGCCGAGAAGTCAATCAAGACGACGCCATCCTCAAAAAGGGATGGCGACTTGCTTCCGCAACAGAGAATCTAATACGTGCGAACAGCGCTTCCGGTTGGAAGGCATGCAGATAAACCTCGAGGCACAGCCGGCATAACAAACACTACATTCCCAAAAGCATGTGGCGGCATAACCACCACTAAAACCTCGAACTCCCAAAGCATATCTGTTGAAACTGCCCTATCAATCGGATGGCACTCCAGGTACACATGTTTCCCCTATCGGCTGTCCCTTCGAAATTACATACGGCGGCCCCAGGCCGGCAATAGTTTGCATCACACGGGGGTTGCTTCGCTTTCCCTGGCCTATCTGGCTTCGGCGCTCCCACAGAGGTTACATACTGCATATGAGACCCCTTTTACGAATCAGATGCTCTCCTTCGGTCAACCAACTTGAGGGGCGGAGCAACGACCATCACCGACGCCGCCCATCATGCTGTCCAAAGTGCAGGCAAAACGGAGATGTCAGTTTTCCCTTGCGCCTACTCGATCCACTTAAGCGTACAGTCTATCCAGTCTGGGCAGTATATCCTGCTGGAGTTACGCCATAATGTACATGAAAATCCTAGCGAGCTGGCCTTGCTTGACGTGGAACCCCCATCGGCTGCAATGCCTGGCATTCCGAGTTCCCAGCAGCTCAAAAGCCACTTTGGAATAGTCATCATGTCCGCTTTGCTCCCCGCCTTGAGCCCCGGACCGCACCTCACCCACCCAATATATGTAGTGGGATTATGAGTGGGATGTTCCAAAGTTGGCTTTACGAGATCCAGAAGGAACCGACCGAGGCCACACTGTCGTGGTCCGAAACCAAAGTGCCTGAGACGAGTTGACATCGCCTGTGGACCCTTAGCAACACGTCTATCACTTCGTCACACATAGCCAGGAGAACTCGGCCGGTCCTCAGTTGCGCCGTTCATTGCTGGTCTTCGGATCACGCTTATCGTGGAGGGGGGAACGCAACTCTCAGACCTCGATTGAGGCCCTTGAGTCTCGCCCTCTTGTCCGACAGCTACCGGGGTGTATTCTCTTTACATTCATACAGTACACTATAGAGACGTCAATGAGCCCCTGGATAGACCGAAACAACAGCGGATCGACCTTTCACACCATACTACACTCGTCATCCATGCCCGGGCATCTCTGTATTGGTGCATCCCCACAGTCATGATGTCTCAGCAAGACATTGGACGATCAACAGGCAAGCTGTCTTACGGCTCATATTTCGACATGTTCCACCTTGCTGCCTGAGACCAGATACTGAGCATTGTAACAACACGCAATGTAACGCATCCACCTGGCGCATGCCTGCGTTGCTCGGGGCTCACTTTTGGAGAGTCTCTGACGATGACAGAGGCAGGCAATGGCAACGGCATCTTCCAACGCTTCCCCATCACATCCACAGCCAGGTGAGTTGGATGATCCGACCTTTCCATGCCACCCCTCTTCATTCAAGCTACCTATCGATGTCCCGGCCATCAAACGACATGGCGGAGTTGACTGTCCGAAGCTCAGGTTGCCCCCGTTCAAAATGCTTTCGTTAACAGCTTAACACTCGATAACTGCATATAAGAGCCTGGCTGTTAGGCATCCTGCTGAGGCACCTTGGGTTCCTGTCCGTGGATTCCATGCAATTTACTGGCCATGCCCAGAGGCACGGAGCAGCGGACTAACGAAATCCCTTCTAACCCTTGTGGACGAACCACGACATGCCGCTCACTGCTTGCTTTGTTGGGGTGTCACTGGCGCTTCGCTAAAAAGCCCCCAGATCCCCAGACTACTGTTTCCCGTGGGTGTGAGGTTGGCTCTCGTGCCAAGGCCATTTTACCTATACCCCACGTCTGAAAGTCAATGGTACGAACGGGCAGGCGGGATGCTGGGGATGCTATAAATGCGCGTTGTTGGGGAGGTCGTGGACCGTGGACAGTGGCAGATATCTTGCACATCCACTCGGTTCACTCACCGCTTCTTTATGTTTCGGTTTATGCACTAGGTACGTTACCACGGATTCAAGCCGCCTCTGTCTGAACTTGGCATATTCGTCTTCATCCGGCAGCTTTCTTCCACTTCCCATCAGATTTTACACGACCGGGAGGTTCCTTCCTCTTTTCGGCCCGTCCGAATTAGGATATGGAATGCATAAGATACTTCCTCGGATAGTGCCAAGGTGAGGCCAAGCTCTCTCTCAAGGTTGCCATCCCATATGCGGCACCTCATGGTTCGGCTCGACTCCTGTGAGTGGTGACTGGAAAGAATCTTGAGATCACTTTCTTGGACGTACCAGATAATAAGGGATACGTTTTGTACGACCAATAAAAATACCCAGGTAGGTACAACTGCATACAGTACGTTAGGCCGCGCAACCTCATTCGTTCTCCAACTGGTTTGTTCCTTTTTCTCCGATTCGGTGGTCAGCCCTACCGCCTGTCTAACCCACGGGGAGGGGCCAAAGAAGAAGCCCACAGGCCGCAGGGAGGCCATGCCCATGGCCCACGGGGGTGAAGGAGGTTGAGGCCAAACAAAAGCCCACGGGGAGACATTCCGTCACAGTCAGACAAGAAGTCAAACAGTATACTTACATTACATGGAACATCGTGTGGATTGGGTAGGATGGATTGATAGTGGAAGGATGGGTTAACCCAAACCCCAAGCCACCGAAGCCACCGAGCCATTCACAAACGCATCAAATCACGATGGCCCAAGACAACGACATTAACATGTTACAAAGTATACTACAGCCCATTAAAACAATTATCGTATGGTCGTTGTCGTTGTCGTTGCCTCACACCAGCCAACAACAGTCTGCCAACAGAAACAACGTTCGACATGGACAACCTTGTCTCAATCTCCCGGAAAAGCAAAGCAAGTAGGTACTGTACATACCTAGTGAGCCACGCAACAGGGCAACATGCCGTGAAGAAGCAAAAAATGAGACTACACATGAAGACGGATCACGAATATTGAAACCTAACAGCGTTAACAGGTAATGGTTGGTACCTTCCTACCTATGTAGGTGGTTAAGATTACTTTCCGAACGCTCAACCTACTCTTACCTACATACTTACGATGTCTCTTTGCTGGGTATTATTATGCTCAGCCTCGGAGTACATACATAGCCAGTGGAATCCATTCCGGCCACCTCCAGTCACAAGTTACATGCCATATAGTAAGTATACTTTCACGCATCGAGTCTCAGAATCCTGCTTCTTAACCACCAGCACCAGATAGATAACAGAAGATACCCGCCCGTCGATGAAAGACATCCCTAGAGGTACCTTACCTAACTCTCAGACAAGCAATCGTGCTACTTATATTAATTAAAGGATAGGTAGGTACTGCAACGCAGTACAACATCCAGATGTTATACATCCACACGCCGTTAACTGGCCAACCAACTCACTCACCCAACTCCTCTACCTCAACTCGTTCGTGCCTCAAGCACATACCTTAACTATACCATCCAGTCAAAAGGCTGGGAGGAATACGTTGTTCTCCTTCTTCTTGTCACCATTGTACCTACCGAGCTACCTCCCCCCTTGTCACTATCAAGATACCTTAACCTCGTCCAACGAGTCTAATGTACCCATATCCTACCGAAGCTAGTTATCCTTCTAAAATACTTACACACACTCCAGCCTGACACTTGAGTATGCCAAAGTTATTGCGATTGCGGAACGCCCCCACACGCCTACCTAGACTTAGTGTACAAGTCTAGAAGCCTCACAAGCCTACGCACACACGGGGGCCAGACGGGAAATCTGACACCAATCTCCCATCGTCTTTCGTTCGTTCGTTCCGCTTTGGTCTACTACGTAGAGGTATGTAAGTAAGTTACTTTGATACCTAGGTAGGTAGGTAAACAACAGAAGACAACAATACGCCTTGGTGTCTGTTGTGCCCATTGCATACATACCGGACGCGGACAGAGAGCATGCTGTATCTTCGTACTCAGGTACTTACCCAGGCTAGCAAGGGAGGTGTCAATTAATCAACCCCTCGCTATAGGCATGTAGGGAGGTGAGTACTTACTTACACAAGTGATCGAAGTTGAACGGTCATTGGCTTCATAGGTAGCGGTAATCTCTTTCTGAGTCCACAGAGTCAGTCACTCAGTCACATTGAGATAGACACACAGAGTAGAGTGACTGACGCTCTGAACCAGCTAGGTCATACCTAGCACAGGAGTCCGGGACGAGTGCACCAACAACACGGCCATATAAGGAAGGTACATACCTTGCCTTCACTTGTTTTCTGATTAGCTAGCTACTATGGTGATAATATTTTCACATGGGATTCGACTCACAAAGAGACAACACCAACACAAGTATAATATAAATATACTAACATAACAAACATAAAGACGCTAATTGAGGTTGTCCGTGCTCCGTGACTCCTCCGTTTCACCTACCTACATATCTGCCTCCCATAGCATGAATGGCCATGGGGCACCTCCCGTTACGGGGTTCAAAAGAAAACAAAGCAGGCTGGCGTTCTGCAATGCCTTCCTAGCTGGCCGGTAGTGCATATAATACGAACTGAAATTTGGTTTAGTCTCCATCCACACACAGTCCCCACGTACTAAAGCACATGTTGTTCCCCGTAACAACAACATCGTGTGAGCAATATTTCCTCTCTTTCACGATCAACCAGTAGTAACCAGCCCTAGATAGATAACTTGTCAAGTAGATACTGCCAGCTATCTGTTACTATCTATCGCGGCTTGTAGGTAGTGTAGTTGTTCTGTAGGTCACCACCCCTCAAGAATACCAGCAAAACCCTCCATCTGGACCTTCTTGGTAGCCAACCTCACGGCAAAAGAGAGAATATCTTTCTTTTCCTTTTCACTTTTGGATTGGATCCATGATCGGATGTCTTTGGTTGTATTTCCCGATGCTGCTGCTGCTGGTGCTGTTATACTCGGCGGTGAGGTCATCATCATCGACAAGCCGTACAAGATGCCGGCTATGAAAGTATCTCCTGCGCCGATGGTACTGTGATCGGATCATGGTGGTTAGTTTTGCAGTCATGTGTGTTGTTGTCTTGTTCTTGTTCAAAACGTTTGGCTGTGTGGCTTTCTATCACTTGGCTTCTTCCCCTTTTTTGTTTCCTTTGGTTTTGACTCTGGTGTAGTGCTCTTGTGACCTAATGGCAATAAGAGACGGTAGGGATGACAAGAAATACTAGCCACAAGGCAAGGCTATATGCGGAGTTGTTGGCGGTCTCGGACGGTTCGGTCTTCATTCAAGACCGGCATGTCTTTCTTTTTGCGTTGTTGTCTTGTCTTGTTCTCCCTTTCGTGAACCTTTCCAAATTGCAGCGACGGGTTCAGATGCGTGCCGCTTGTGGCAGGTACTGACTCTGCTCCTTTCAGGGCTCAATCAAGGGGTTGAGGTAGCGCAGAAAGGGCAAGAAAAGAGAGTACCTCTATGTCAAACATCCCATCTCGATCAAACAGAAAGAAAGAGAGACTTACTCAACCACAGTAATTGTCTGTGTCTTGCACACCTCTGAAGGAGAACAGTGCAGATATTCGGGTTCTGCTATTTCTGCTGTTTGCTCATTGTTACCGCCACCGGCGCCGGCGGGTGAAGGGAAGAGAGCCCCAGCTCCTTGTGATCCCCATGTGCACAGCATAAGAAAACTGTAGAGCAATATGGCGAGTGTTTGTGTTAGAACAACAAGTGTCATTTGCCATTGACTGTTACATATCGGACTGTGGCTCTTCTCGTGGACAGCAAAACTTACGCTTTGTTGCAATTGGACAGCTCGCCTCTCAGACAAGCTTCTGGCTCGGTGTATCCCCGACTCTACACAACCGGAGGTACAAGGCCAGACATTAGCATCATGAACGAAAACCAGATCATCTTGGGGGCGAAGTATGGGACCAAGTGCTATAGCATGTCACACGCCACGCATGCCCATGCCGGTTTCTACGTGATGTTGGAGTGTCATGGGAATAATATAACTTACCTCTGCCCAACTCTTCGAATAAAACACCACGTCGGATTCCGCGGCCAGCTCAACAAGGCCCTCCCGGCCTGGCTTTTCTACCTCGACACTGATAGTGCTTCCTGGTAAGACCTGGCGCAGGTGGTGGATACACTGCATTGTTGTCTCTGGTATTCGACCCTTTAGACATGGTCCATCTACGTGTTAATATGGGGAAAACCCTGGGTAGACATGCGAGTGAGACTGATGAGACCAATAGCTTCCTTAAGACTTATAACATTCGTTATACGGAAGAGAAGGGAACAGGAGACAGAGAGCATGAGGACTCTTCTCAGTGAGCATGTGTATAACGGGGGTGCCTGAGCCTACCTCAAAATGCCACCAATAATCCTCTCCAAACAAGTTGCTGGTGCTTCCATCATGACTTTGGTCTTCCGGCATGGCGGCGAAACCATGCACGATATTGACAAACTCGTCCGTTGTCATCTCTGGGAGGTCATTGTAGTTCACAATGGTCCGGCTGCCTGTCGCGCCACTGCGGATAATGTAACTGCTAGCTGCTTCATGGTGCCCCTTGCGGTACAGACAGTGACCAAAGTCAACACTGGTAGCCGTAGTGGGAGCGGCGCCGGTCACAGACTCGGACAGAGACTCAGAGTCGTAAGATGGGGACGACTGAAGAGCAGGAGGAGTTGCAAAGGATGACAGGACTTTGCGGGTGGCGGACGACTCAACATCAGGCAAGATGGAAACCAGGTGCAATTTCAGCTGCTGCTGTGGTTGTTGTTGTTTCGATGGTAGCGGTGTAACGGCAGCAGCATCAGCAGCGCTGACTTGCTGGGTTTGACTTGACGAAGTGTCCAGGCCACCTCCTGAGAGGAGCAGCTGTTGGAGAACCTCAACTGTATTGGGGCAGTTGCCCCCGCGTCTTACCTGCAAGGCCGTTGCTCGTAGCTTGGAGTCTTCTTCAGGGAACTGGGGAACACTACAGACATTTCATATGTGAGCACAAACCTATAGTGAAAATAACATACACATCCCGATCCCGGTAATGCCAGCCACAGCCACAGCTCTGGCCGCAACAAACCGGTGGCTATAGAGCTACAGGATGAGAGCTATGTATGATGTTGGACAAGGTTGAGAAACTTACGTCAGAATAGTGTCCAAGTAGCACGCCCCCACTAAGATGAGGTGCTTCATTGTCTCTGCCTCTCTGTCTCTGTTGTTGGCTTGAGACGACAGTGGCAACCCAAAGTAAGGGACTCTGTATGTCCGAGACGGATCAACCAGTGGCACTGTTTGAGGTAGCGGACTATGGATGGGCGTCAACCTCGGAGCCGGCCGGTTGCCTGGCCTCCCTTGCTGGCCTTTGTGTGTCTTGCAAGTCAAAAGGCGAAGTTGGGGGGAGTGTACGGCTTGGTTGGGTTTCGTATCTTTCGTCCGTAACAAACTGAGCGAGTGGCCGCCCGGCGTGGATGGTTTGACAAGTGACAACCACCAAGACAGTCGGAAATGACAAGCTGTAGACGGGTTGGGAAATTGTTGGTTCAGGTCCTTCAGTGCACCGACAAGGTTCTGGGAAAGCGGGACGTTCGAGACCTTTCATGGATCCGAAGGAGGCTTACGAAAAGGAAAGAAGACAGGCTGAGGAACATGCAAGAACAACCAAGCATGAACACTTTCATGCGCAGAAACAGCGTGTAGACGCAAGTGCAAGGGTGTGGTAACTGCCCGCTTGAGCCGCGTACCTGTAATAACGACTCGAGTGACTTCCACTTACCATCCAGTGGTGAGATGGGCGGCACTGTAGGGAGACGGACCGGCTCGTGAACCTGGAAAGTACGTTCGGCTAGTGGAGGTTGGCTGGAGGACAATCGCAGCTTCTGTCTCCAAGCGGCTTGGGGATGTGATGTGCAGTCGCCAGTGTGCGTGGACTGCATCCTTCCTTATGTGATTGATGACGGCCTCCTTGACCTGTGGGTGCCGTGGCAGATCCTTCCATTTCCATGGACCGAGATTGTTGAAACAGTCCGGGACAGCATTGCAGCTGATGCATCGTTGTGCTCGTATCAATGTAAGCATCGGTTGGAGAGAATCGCCCGCGTTCCGGAACCCCACGGACTCGGTTTGCATGAAAATTGAGGCCATTTCCAAAGTTGGTTATGAAGGAGGGGCGGGGCCTCAATCAGGGAGTGGTTGGTTGCTGTGACCGGTGGCTCGAAAGTGGTGGACACGGAGCATGTCCCTCATCGACAACGTCGATATTCTAGCTGCATGAGGTCTGTCCGTCCTGGACCCTGGTTAGCATTCTGCCTGGACTCGCACACCGCATGTATCGTGAGCCTCTTTGGATGGTAGAGGTGGTTGCTCGGTGGTCGGTGGTGTTGTTGCTGTTTACGATGCTCATGCGCAGGGTGTCAACTGCCAAGCCCGTTGAAGTGAGAGACGAGCTGGACCTATGCAATTACCGCAATAGGCATATCCGATTGTCGGTGGTGATCCAAGTTTCCCCTCCTCCAAATCACCAAGGATTGGATTGTCCTGATTGTCGCGCCGAAAAAGAAACAGCCGTCGTACGATTTATTCGGTTCGCCGAGTTGATGCCGAGTACAGATTGGTGTATACTGTACTAGAGCGACTCGGTGCTTCTGACTTCCACTTGGGAAAGTCCGACGATCGAGCTGTACAAGCTGTGGTGATTGCGACCAAGAGATCTTATCTGGCGACTGCGAAAACCGATGACGTATTGCTGTTCTCTCCGTCCAGTGTAGACATCACCACTTGCCCCGCCCTAAAAGTGCAAGAGCGATGGCCAGCCCTTGACTTGACTGAATCGGGCGCTTGTTTCACAGATTGGATGGGAGGAAGGAGAGCACCCCGATCAGTGGGAGAAAAGCAGAGAAGGAGCATTCACCGGATTCAATGGATTACGCTCGGCTACCTAGTAACGTCGTGACTCGAGTTTCTGTCTTTCTACCTCTAGTGCGCAATGCCACCAGTCCACCACACAACCTCTTTACGCGGCACAACGACAGGCCGAGCCGGTAGCATTTCCCATTCCCGTCCATAGCACCCATTGATTGCGACCCAGTCTCACAAGTCCAAGTATCGTCACCCAAAACACCTTGCAACCACCACCAGAAGCCGCCCCTACCGATCCGATACAGCACAAAGCAACATTGTCCGCAGCGGTGCATGATCGGCCAGTTACAGACTGAACTCTGGAGCCACGGAGCCACTCAACCCAGCTCTTCCGAAAGTACCTGCTACCTGCCGCACCAAAGTACCTCTATCATCCCGTACGCACCTACACAGTAATGGTCGACAGTAGTGCTCGTGATTGACGTCGAGCGATACCTCTATCGAGAGAAACAGACTGCAACCCACCCTGGACCGACAAGAGTGGAGGTTGCTAACCAGCCCGACCTGACGCCGAGTCCCCGAGGGCGAACATATCGAGCGGAGGAAGACAAGACAATCAGAGCAGCGGAGCTCCATTGATTGAGGACAATGCCTGCTCCAGATCGTGGAAAGCAGCCTGAGAAAGATGACCACTCGAGTTCGAGTGAAGAGGACCAGAATGCGCTTGAGGTAGGGAATCAATGCACTGCAGTCCCCACGCCCGTCCATGCCGAGCATGACCGAGAAGCACAGCCTTGCGTGCCCTGTTTACTTCCACTTGCACACCCCTTTCTCTACCTGCTGCCCACTTGCATACTATGCGCATTAGCTGAATTATGGTCCAAATGCCCTTCATAGGTCTCGTTCGATCCATCTAGTCCGTACCGGCGCAAGAGCTCTCTGGTGAACAGCGATATCCGTGTTCCTCTTCACCTTCGCCGGTCACAGCCGGCCAGGACAGAATGCCTCGTCCACCAGTTTCTCGACGCCCAGCGACGGCCCCCTAGACGCCAAAATACCCTAGATGGACAGGTTGATGGCGTTGCTAGCAACTTAACAACCCCGATCCAGGCCCGAAAGCCCCTCGCAAGGGGCTTATCCGACCTTGCTTGTGAAGCCATCGATGTTACTCGTGAAAATGACCAGGACCGGGTGCCCGATCCGAAAGGCTTCTCCAGCACTGCCAGTAACAATGCTGCCAGTGTGCGCCCCCGGGAATGCTCAATAGTCAATGTCAACTCGAGCGATACTAGCGATGCTGGTCAGATTGATGAGAAGGAATGGAAAAGCGAGATCGTAAGAGCCACATGCTTAGACCACACACAACCACCCGACATAGACCTAGACGCAAAGCACAGCAGGCTCCTCACCAAGAAACAGTTGAGTGAGATGGCATGGGGCGTGAGGGAGCTGAGTCGGCGATTGGGTAGCGTGCGCTTGAAGTTTAAGATCAAGACCATCTTTGTGCTCACCAAACCGCATGATCAGGAACTAGTTCCCAAAACGCGCGCCTTGATCCGGTGGTTACTTGATAAGGAGCGCGACGTGCGCTATACTGTCTATATCGACAAGGAACTGCGTGGCAACAAGAAGTTCGACGCACCCGGTCTGATCGAAGACGTCCGTAAGGACTATGTTGAGTCTGGCGAGATCTCAGAGGAAGCCAGTCACGACATATCCCAACGCCTACGCTACTGGGACGAGGAATTGTGTCGGGCCAAGCCGCAAACGGCCGATTTTGTAATAACCCTGGGCGGCGATGGAACCGTACTATTTGCGAGCTGGTTGTTCCAGCGCATTGTACCGCCTGTGCTTAGCTTTGCCTTAGGCAGCCTAGGCTTTTTGACCAAGTTTGACTTTGACAACTATCAAGAGACCTTGACAGCTGCCTTCACAGAAGGCGTCAATGTGGCTTTGAGGCTAAGGTTCGAAGGAACTGTCATGCGAAGTCAGAAGAAGAGAAGGAAGCTTATCACGGATGGACCCGACGAAAATGGCAGCTCAAAAGAAACGGACAGAAAACCAGAGGGCACAAATGGTGGTGATGGTGATGGGGGTCAAAATGGGAATGAAACAAGCGACGAGGAAGAGGGAGAGAGGAAACGAGATCTAGTAGAAGAACTCATCGGCGAGGAAAAGGATGATGAACGAACCCATCGACCAGACGGAACTTGGGAAGTGCTCAATGAGGTGGTCGTGGATAGAGGACCGAATCCTAGTAAGGCATCCCATCTAACTCCCTCTCATACACGTCTTGGATCATACAGCTAACATATCCTCAAGCAATGTCATACATCGAAATTTTTGGCGATGACGAGCACTTCACCTCCGTTCACGCCGATGGTATCTGCGTTTCCACTCCCACAGGTTCAACCGCATACAACCTCGCCGCCGGCGGCTCCCTCTGCCACCCCGAGAACCCCGTCATGCTCGTGACCGCTATCTGCGCTCACACGCTCTCCTTCCGCCCCATCATTCTGCCTGATACCATCGTGCTTCGCATTGGCGTGCCCTATGATGCACGAACCAGCTCTTGGGCAAGTTTCGATGGTCGTGAGCGTATCGAGCTCAGACCGGGCGACTACGTGACTATCAGCGCGAGCAGGTATCCGTTTGCCAGCGTTCAGGTGCAAGGAAGGAGGAGTGAGGAGTGGATCAAAAGTATCAATGCGAAGCTTGGTTGGAACACCCGACAAAAGCAGAAGACGTTTACATAGATAGGGTACTTACTTACTTACTCTGGACTAAGGGCAGGGAAAGGCCAAGATTTGTCTATGGGCCGTAGTACAGATGGAATATTACAAGCCAGCAGCACTCTGCCGGGGAATAAAACGAAAAGCTCAGCGGATTGTACATAGCGAGTGGCTTTTTTCATGGATGTTATCAAGGATGCTAGAGCATGAAAAGATATTCATACATTTAGAAGCTACATCCAATTTCTAGATGGCCTCTGCAATCCACGATTCTATTTCACCCAGAAGTGCTGCATAGAGGGAGGTATTGAAACTTCCGAACCAAACGCCGGCGATAAATAAACTAAATACCTAATTTCATTCAAAATTATGCTCTTTATCATGTCCTCAACCAATCTATAATAACGTGCGCTTTCCAACTTCCATCCCCTAAATAACGGCTAGTACCTTATATACATCCCATTGCAGTCTAAACTAATTCCCTTCAGCAAACACACTGTACACCTCCTTGGCCATATTTATATACACAGCTTACTACAAAGGCGGCAACTCCTCTCTACAAATGGGACACTGCAACCGATACTTCATCCACCCTTCCAAGCAATCCGTATGGAAAATATGTCTGCACGGCGTAACCATGTATGCCTTTCTCGCAAACACGCCCGTGATGCCCGCCATGCCCGAAGAAGCTGCTGCTACTGCTGATGATGATGATTCCGAGGAGGAGGAGAAGAAGGAGCCAGCTTTGTTGTTGTTGTTGTTATTGTTAAACACGGGCACCTCCAATAACTCGCGACAAATAGCGCAGTCGACTGAGCGCATGGTGACGCCCTTTTGTTTTTCTCGTTCTTTTTCTTTTTCACGTTCACGGTTGCCCGTGGTGGTTCCTCCACCAGCACTACTTTCGCCTGCCTCTGTAGTTGAAGCCGTGCCAGTCAAAGAAACCACACTCCACTCCCTATCCCTATCTCTCCCGCTCCCGCTCCCGCTCCCGCCCCCTCTCTCTTCAACTGGGGACGACGCAGAAGCCGTCGTTGTTGTGGACAGACCGGTGCCAGTCCTCGCCAGTCCAATCGGCAATGACCCAACCTTACCGCCCTCTAGATCATCATCCCTCAATACAGGATGATAATCCCACGCTTCTCTTACCCATCCCCTCGGCACTCCGAACCTCGGTCCTAGTACCGACTGGGTACACATAACCCAGAGCTGGATCCACACCCAGCCCACCAACACGAGGAAAGCGTAGGGGTCGGGGTCAGCTAGCAGGACGTTATCTTCCCTTAGGAAGAAATACGCAAAGGGAAGTAATCTTAGAACAGATTGCCCGATCATGAAGCGCCAGGTGAAAGCTTGTCGGGAATTGCGTTGCGTATTGCGGATGATTTGCGGCACCCAGAGACTGAGATACAGAAAGGAGAGGGTGTTCACGTATAGGGAGCGAATGTGTGAGGGCCAGGAGGTGGCGACGGCGGAGAGGAAGAGGAGGAAGAGGCCGGATAGGACGAAGCGGCCAATTATGGCGCTGAAGTGGGTTGGTGGACGGGGTTCGTTTGTGGGTGCTGGTTGACCGGGAGTTCGAGCGGTGGCGGGGAGAGGGAGGGCAGAGGCACCGGAGAGGAGGTTGGCTAGTTGTTCGGCTTCGTCGATATCGCCGTCTGAAGGGACGATGATGGGTTGACGAGGCTGAGCGGGGGCGCTGGGAGGAGCAGTTGGTTGTGCTGTGGGTGGCTGAGGTTGACTGATGGAGGGTTGAGTGGATGGCAACGTTGTTGTCGATGCTGCCCCTGATGAGACGTTGCGGTTCGCAGCAGCGGCTTGTTCTCTTTCGCGGTCACGAATCCTCCTCTCTGGCTCTTGAATCTTCCAGACCTCTGACAAAAATGCGCCTTCGATAAACATGGATATGAAGGCCGCAAATGTGACGAGCAAGCAGGGCAGAAGTGTGATTGTCGCGTTCAGACTCCAGGCACAAACAGCAATAAAGATCATGCCATCGGCAAAGAGCATGGTGCCTACAGTCCAGAAGCTCACCCGACCGGTAGTAGACGGCGTACTCGACTGTTTCATCTGTGCCTTGAAGAGCCATATCTGACCCAGAACGACGGCAGCGAATGCAATCAGCCATTCTTTCGCGGTGTAGGTGAACATGTCCTCCTTCATACCGACAAGATGTTGTCCGTCGACTGAAGGGAACTCTGGCGGGCCCTTGGACTCTAGGAAAAACGAGCAGTCAGGAGACCAAGCCACCATGGACGCACGCAGATCGGGGATTCTGCCGATGGGCGCTCCTGTGGGATGGCGTAACTCGCGCTCAAGCTCCTCGATGTAAGATTCGAGCAAAGTGTCATACCGACGGGTGATCTCGAACGGATGTAGTTGGAGGTACATGACATACTCGCATTGTGCAGGGTAGCCGTCATCTTCCTCCATCCTTGAGCCCCATGGGTTGCCTGGGAAGCCATATTTACTCTTCTCTCTGGCTTCGATGATCTTGCCCAGCGTTTGATTCAGCAAATGCTGGCCGGTATGGAAGAAGTTGGGTCCTGGTGCCAGATGGGGAAGGCCAAAAATGCCGTCAAACTTCTCGCTGCTGGTCGTCAGAAGGATAGCGCCTTGCCGTGGCCAGTGAACACCATGGAGTAACAAGCTCAAGCTGCTAGCCTCGCTCGCGTCGTCCTGGATGGTAGCCACGGCCTGGATCTCCCTCGCCAAACTAGCCCCCCTAGAAGTGTTGCCGTCAACCTTCTCTTCGTAAACACCACCTCCCTCATCCTCGTCTATCCGCAACTCGACCTTGCCATGGTCGCCCGTAATGTTTCTCCCCCATTCACCAAGACCACTAGGCCAAGTTGCCCCTGGGGCAATTGTACTGAGGTTGTATCCCGCGGCTTGCCTGGCGACGGTTCCCGGTCGTCGCACCCAAGTGCCATGGAGAGTGCCCGTAGCGTTGTTCCATGTGCCGCTGCCGATATTGCGCTCCCAGCTGTCGTCATCATACAACCGGCTAGCGGAGGCCGAGGGGAAGGCGTTCCGGCTCCATTCGCGACAGCGGTTCCGGAACCGACCGAGGTCTTCCCACGCGTACCCTTGCCCATCGAGCTGGCTGAACCCCGTGATGTTTATAAACCGAGGGCCCTGTTCTCGATCGGCATCCGGCCTGTCGGTTTCGGTAGGAGGCGGCGGTAACGAGGAGAGCGGCGCATCGGGAGCGAAATCACCCCATCGTGTGGTGTCCAGGACGTCGAGCGCACCCTGGAATCGAGCTTGACGCTTGTGGGAGAGTTCAGGCGGCGTCAAACTGGCGGGATCGCTACCGTCCGGGGAGAAAAATACCCATAGAAGAATGAGGATTATCAGTAGAGCTCTGACATCTGAGTTTTGAGAAGGCATTGCGGAACGTCCGAGTCGCGCCTTGTCATTTTTCCATGTCCCCTTGAAGTTGTTGTTGGGTTTGTCGTCTGGTTCTTGGGACCTTGATAGTTGAAGGGAGGTAGAAGAAGCTCAAGAGAGCATTGTTGAATGGCAATGATGTTTCGTATGTAGGGGGTTCAGTCAAAGTGTAATATTTGGTATAATCTAATTCTCATCGTGTGCCACGTCACGGCAAAGGATGGATGTTGACGACGGGAGCTCGGTGTGTGTTGTTTTGGTGACGAAAGTGGAAGCTGGACCGCGGTGATAATGGAAGCGGCCGATGACAGCTCTATGCAAGCAGGGTATTTGTTAGTGCATACCCGCTGAACCCCGCTGGCTTACAGTGTACGGACAGTGCGTCCAGCTGCACATGCTTTCCCGTCCCGGCGCCGGTCGTCCTGGCCTTGGTTCCGCGACCCATCCAGGCGGCTCGCCCGTAGCGCCTGCAGATGATGGAAATCATCCGCTGCCCTCAAGGTCCTCGTCCCTTTTCAACATCAACACTTAAAGCGATTTATAGTGAGATCACTTTCACAAAACCTGTTTGTCAAACCACTTTGAGAATCCTTGCGGCCTCCACAGTACAGTTTCCGGAAGACAACCACATCTTTCATCCAAAATCATCATGTCTGAAAACGGCGAGGCCAACACCGCTACGAGCCCAACAGCGACCAACGTAAGTCGGACATTTTCTCCGAACTCGTGTACATATAGCCCCGTGACTGACCACATCCAATAGTCTGCGGATGACGCCCGTCAAGAGCTCTCAGTCCAGCTTGAGGATCTGCTAAATACGCTGTCGAACAAGTTCGCCGGTGTCTCCAGCGAGATATTTGCCAAGAGTAAGAGTTGTAGTGGAAGGCTGTGAAGTCAGTGAATGCTAACGGCGGTTTGGGTCAGTGGACGAGATGTCAAGGCGTTTGGACAATCTGGAGTCTCAAATAATGGCCGGCAAGGAGAAGCCAAATGGACCGGCGTGATTTTTTTCGCCATGGAAGTAAACAAACCGCGTGCGAATAGGGGTCGGGGTTAGGGAACGTCATGTGTGGGCCGAGACATGCTAGGATGTTGGAGTTTTGGGAGTTTTACAGAGCAAGCGTCTTAATGTTTACGCAGGTGCGGTAGTTCACGTATAATATGCCAGTAACATGTCGAGCAGAAAGACACATCTCTCCTTCACTGTATCATTACAACAAGAAGCTGTCGCAACAGGTATTGGGACCAAATATTCGTTTATTCAGAAAAGGATATATCATTATACGCAACCAGCTACAGCTTGTTGTCTAGCTGTTAGCTGTGCATTTAGAGCTCATCCTTGACGTCCTCCACCGCCTTCTCAACGAACTTGCGGAGAACGTTGACCTTGGCAGTAAGCTCATCAACCTTGGCCTGGGCAAGACCACCCTTCTTGAGGATGCCCTCGAGACGGGCAAACTCCTTGGCGGCATAACCCTCGTTCTTGCTCAGCTTGTCGAAGACGCGGAGGTAGTAGTCGGCGTACTTGAGCTCGGCAGAGTTCTTTAGGCTCTTGACAGCCTCCTTAGCCTCCTCGGTGATCTCAGTCAGGGAAGCACCGCCAGTGTACTTGGTAACAATCTCATCGAGGGCAGCGAGAGTGCCAGCGACGGTGTCAAGGCCACCACCGGGGGTGCGGTGGGTACCGGCCTTCTCGTTCAGGAACTCGACGAAATCAGCCTCGGAGCGGCCGCCGTTGTAGTCCTCAGGGGTGGTGCTTCCCTTGGGGAAGAACTTGATCGTAGGGAAACCGGAGACGCCGTACTCGGCAGCGGACTTCTTGCCGTTGGGCGCATCGGCATCAACCTTGGCAATCGTGATCTCGGGCTCGCTGGCAAAGGTAGCGGCAAGCTTCTCCCAGGTAGGAGCGAGGTTCTTGCAGTCTAAGAATATGTTAGTACAAAGGTTTTCGAAAAAAATGGGTCTTGAATGTTACGTACGGCCGCACCAGGGAGCAGTGAAAGCAACCAAGACGTTCTTGTCGCCGCCAATGGCGCCGCTGATGGTGGCATCGTTGAGAACGCTGACAAGGCTAGGAACAGAACCCTTCTTCCTGGACTTGACGCCAGTCTTCTCGGCGATGAAGCTAGACAGGCTCTCCAAGTCACGTCCACCCTTGTAGTC